AGAAATACTCACTAAAAGGACAATCTATCCATTATTACCAAAACATAAGACTTTCAACGTAATTCGTGAAAGCAAACACATATATTTTTGAGTATCCGATTCTTTGAAACTCAACTTTCCTCGAACGGTTTTTCTTAAGATCAACATAGACAACCTGCAAGTGATCATAAACATCACGAACTATAATTATAATCTCACCTGTCTCAACAACACAACCCACCACAGCTAACTCAACAATATAAAATTCATACATCTCTAGAGTAATGTATATAGAAACTTTAGACCATTCTTGTTTCTCCACACCTTCAAAAATCCATAAATCATATTCACGGAAACTTCTACCTTTTCTTGTAACTAAATATAGTTTCCCTTGGTAGTTCATAAAGGTAAAGTTTAGACCATGCATATCAAGCACCTCTAACGGTATGTCAATGAAATCACCAAACTTTTCAGTCCTCACATCGAATCTCAAGAATTTCAGTCCATGTGCCGTGTGAGCACCATAATATAAAATCCCGTTGAGGCATATTCCCTTAGTAAGGGGAATCTCAACATTCATATCCTTGATCATTTTCCATGAACCTTCATCTCCCAATGTAAACACTTCAAGTTGATCCACTTTATATGGATGATATATATGATTGTTTTTTGAGAAAGATAATACCTTATATTGATAATTTATAGGATCGTATCCCAAATACCATGCCCATATTGATTTATTTGGATTGGTTTGGGGTAAAGGTATGATCTTTCCTGAGAGAGGATTGCATATCCACAGCTGATTCACACCTTCGTAATATATCAAGCCATTGACGCAATGAGGCTTGAGCGATTGAGTGGTATAGTATGTTGCACTGGAAGGTGTTTCTTGAAACGTGAAGAGATGCCAACGAGTTGTCATTGTATCACATAAAGCAAACAACAAACATGGCTCACGAAAAGAGGATCTTGATTCGTATGAGATGATGAAATTTCGACTTCGGATGATTGTAGCCCAAAGCTTGGATACGCATACACATCTCGCTAGGGTTTTCACAGGCAACCTTGAGAGAATTTCGACCAACAGGTCTTGAGGAATCATATCTTACTAAGAAAGAGTTTACAATTTTCTTTTTTAATAAGAAATTGTTTTGTTTCTCACTTAGAAATTATTGTCCGATTATATCTTAACATATAGTATATCCAGTGTACTTGGTATAAAAAAAATTCATAAATGTTTGTTGAATCAATGGTAACTTAGTCAAAGAAAAATAGTCGTAACGCGACCTTGCCATAATGTGATGTGTTTCCAATGCCAATAATGGTAACTTAGTCAAAAATAAATAGTCGTAATTCCTAATTCTATCAATGGTAACTTAATTATGAAAATAGTCGTAAGTTTTAGTTGAATCATTGGTAACTTAGTCAAYGAAAAATAGTCGTAGTTCTTAGTCAAATCAATGGTAACTTAATTATAGAAACAAATAGTCGTAACTCGTAAATGAATCAATATTAACTTAAACAAGGAAAATGTCATAATTTCTTGTTGAATTAATTGTAATTTTAATTATGGTAAAAATAGTTGTGATGTGAATCGACAAAATTTTACTGATATACGATTATAGTTTAAATGGAGAAATTAAAATTTCTATGACCCGCCTTTTTTATTGATTAATTTTCAAAAAGTACATGGCATTAAAAATTAATATTTATATTCGTTATATACCCTCTAATAAACATAAAAGGAGTGTTATTGGGAGTAGGATTTTTGACCATTTTTAAAATTCTTAGATTCTATTGTTATTGGTTTATAAATTCTAACAATCTAAATGAAATCCCCTGTTTTTGGTCTTTAAATTCTAACAATTTTAAGGAAATCTATCGTTATTGGTATATAAATTTTAACAATCTTCATGCAGTGTTATTTGGAGTATGAATTTAACAATTTTACTCATTGAACATAACTTTCACAATCTTAAGTATATACATGAGATTCTCAAAATTCTTACATTCTTTGATAGATTTATGAAATACACAAAACTATTTTCAAACTTAACAAATGTCTCTACAAATTTCGCAAATTTTGAAAATTTTCAAATCAACAAACTTTACCTAAATTCTCCTAAAACTAAAAATTTAATTGGAAKCACTGCAATTTTTGCCTCTCTTGATCTTGTCACATTGTGCCGAAACTTCCTTCTCTTCACTCGCCATCTTCTCTACTACATCTCCAATTTGTGTTCCATTGTTGATACTTGATAAGCGGGTGCATATTTTCTATTCATGTATTCATTAGTAATGTATATTTAT